GATTTAACAGACATCTACCGAATATTTCACCCAGCAGCATCAGAATACACATTTTTCTTAGCAGCACACAGAACTTTTTCCAAAATAGACCACATTTTAGGTCACAAAGCAAACTTGTCAAAATTCAGAAACATTGAAGTTATGTCCTGCATTCTGTTAGACCACAAGAGAATAAAATTAGAACTCAACACCAAAAGCCACCAAAGAAAGTCCTGTAATACATGGAGGCTGAACAACACACTGTTGACTCACCAGGGGATTCAGGAAGAGACTAGAAAGGAAATTCAAATGTTCATGATATTTAACAAAAATGAACACACAAATTACCAGCTCCTCTGGAACACAGCAAAGGCAGTACTCAGAGGCAAGTTTATAGCTCTGAGTTCCTACATCAACAAATTGGAGAGATCTGAAACCAACAATTTAATGAGACATCTGAACCTCCTTGAAAAAGAGCAGCAAGATAAACCCCAATCCAATAGGCACAAAGAAATAATTAAATGAAATCAGAATTAAACAAATTAGAATCCAAAAACTCCATAGAAAGAATCAACAAAACAAAGAGTTGATTCTTCGAAAAAATTAACAAAATTGACAGACCTTTAGCAAATCTTATCAGAAAAAGAAGAGAACACACTCAAATAAACTCAGAGATGAGAATGGAAACATCACCACAGAAACAATCAATATTCAGAACATTATAAAGGAACACTTCTCAAACCTTTATGCTAATTAGTTTAAGAAGTTGGCAGAAATAGACCTTTTCCTAGCAAATGTTGCCATGCCAAATCTAAACAAAGATGAGCTAAACAACTTAACAGGCCTGTATCAAGCATTGAAATAGAAACAGCAATAAGAGACCTCCTATCTAAGAAAAGCCCGGGACTGGATGGATTTACAGCAGAATTCTACAAGGCCTTCAAAGCGGAACTCACACCAAAATTCCTCCAACTCTTCAATAAAATTGAAAGAAAAAATTTACTACGGAACTCTTTCTATGAAGTCACCATAACCCTCATCCCAAAACCAGGCAGGGACTCATCAAAGAAAGAAAACTATAGACCCATTTCTTTGATGAACATCGATGAAAAACTTCTCAACAAAATTTTGGCCAATCGACTTCAACAATTCATCCAAAAAATCATACACCACGATCAAACAGGATTCATTTCAGGGATGCAAAGCTGGTTCAATATAAGCAAATCAATTAATATAATTTATCATATCAACAAGATCAAGGATAAGAACCACATTGTATCTCAATAGATGCAGAAAAAGCATTTGACAAGATCCAACACCCCTTTATGATGAAGGCTCTGGAAAAACTAGGAATCCATGGAACATTCCTCAATACAATAAAGGCTGTACATGACAACCCTGTAGCCAGCATTATACTTGATGGTGAAAAACTAAAGCTATTTCCTCTAAACTCAGGAGCAAGACAAGGATGTCCATTCTCTCCTCTTCTCTTCAATTTAGTATTAGAATGCCTAGCTACAGCAATAAGACAAGATGAAAATATAAAGGGGATCCACATAGGGAAAGATGAAGTAAAACTCTTCTTCTTTGCAGATGCCATGATCTTGTATTTAAAGAATCCCATGAACTCCACTCCCAAGTTACTGGATCTGATTCAAAACTTTGGCAAAGTAGCAGGGTACAAAATTAACCCTCAGAAATCAATGGCTTTTCTGTATGCTAACAACGAGAAGAGTGCGGCTGAAATCAGGAAAGCAACTCCATTCATAATAGCCCCACAAAAAATAAAATACCTAAGAATTAACCAACGAAGTGAAGGACCTCTATGATGAAAACTTTAAAAATCTGAAAAAGGAAATCAAAACAGAACTTAGAAAGTGGAAAAACCTCCCATGCTCCTGGATTGGAAGAATTAACATCGTGCAAATGGCAATACTTCCCTAGGCTATCTACCAATTAATGTGATACCTATCAATATTCCAACCTCATTCTTCAAGGAAATAGAAGAGGCAATCCAAAACTTCATTGTAACAATAAAAGACGCCAAAAAGCAAAAACGATCCTTGACAGAAAGAACAATGCTGGAGGAATATCAATATCAAATTTCAAACTCTACCACAAAGCCATAGTAATCAAAACAGCTTGGTACTGGCACAAGAAGAGACCTCAGCACCACCAGAATTGAAAACCCAGAAATCAACCCACAGAACTATAGCCACCTAATCTTTGATAAGGGAGCAAAAAAAATAGAATGGAAGAAAGACATATTCAGGAAATGGTACTGGAAAAATTGGTTAATCATTTGTAGAAAACTAAAGCTAGATCCTTATATATCACCCTACAGAATCAACTCCAAATGGATCAAATACCTCGGAGTCAAAGCAGACACCCTGAAAACATTGCAGAATGGAATAGGAGAAACCCTAGGTCTCCTAGGCACAGGCCGAAGTTTTCTCAATAGAGACTCAGAAACAACAAGACAAATGGGATTGCCTGAAGTTTCAGAGCTTCTGCATGGCAAAGGACATAGCTAGCAAGAGCAATAGAAAGCAAACAGATTGGGAGTAGATCTTCACTAGCCTTACAATGGACAAAATATCTAAAATATACTTGGAACTCAAAAAATTAAATCCCCAACAACAAATCCTCAAAGAAACAACTGCCTGATAAATAAATAAGTGGGCTAAAGACTTAAAGAGAAACTGCTCTGAAGAGGAAATAAGAATGGCCAATAGACACATGAAAAAATGCTCAACTTCTCTAGTTATAAAAGAAATGCAAATTAAAACAACACTGAGATTCCACTTCACTCCAGTTAGAATGGCTATAATCAAGAAATCTAATAACAACAGATGCTGGAGGGGATGTGGCCAGAAGGGAACCCTACTGCATTGTTGGTGGGAGTGTAAACTTGTTCAACCACTTTGGAAAACAGCATGGAGGTTCCTCAAAAGTCTCCTTATAGAGCTCCCCTATGACCCAGCAATCCCACTTTTGGGCATTTACCCAAATGATCACAAACAAGGTCATACTAAGGCTACCAGCACAACTATGTTTATCACATTATTTACCATAGCTAAGATATGGAACCAATCCAGATGCCCCTCAGTAGATGAATGGATCAAGAAAATGTGGTGTATATACACAATGGAATTCTATGCCTCCATCAGAAAGAATGACATTGGCCCATTTGTTAGGAAATGGAAAGACTTGGAGAAAATTATATTAAGTGAAGTAAGCCAGGCCCAAATAAACATAGGTCCAATGGTTTCTCTTATTTGCAACAACTAGTATATGTCTGGGACAAGCAGAAAAGCTCAAATAAGAGGATGTTAAGAGAAATGAACCTCACGATAGGGACACAAGTGGTTTTTTCTTCCTTACTATTGTTTCTAACATATTTATAAGGTACCATGTGATTTTTAAAAAATTTCTTTGTATGTCCCTCCCCCATGGTATAACCCCTGTTTTCACTGTCTTTGGGAAGGGGAAGGGAAAAAACAAAATATTTAAACAGGGATACAGATTAACCCATTGCAACAATAAGATGTATAAGATGCTATGTTGAAAAATGAAGTTTACAGTTTACAATTTAGGTGGGGAGGGGGGTAGTCAGGGTAGGGGGCTGTAGTTGAGGAGGTGGGAGGGACAGAATTGTAGGGGACAAATTAAGGAGGAGGCAACAACGCTGGATAAGAAATGTACTCATTACCTTGCTCATGTAACTGTAACCCCTGTGTGCAGTATTTTCACAATAAAAAGCTTATTTTTTTTTAAAAAAAGAATCAATTACTTATTGCCACATATTTCTCACTTTACCCACTCCCTGTTTCTCTTCCCCAATTTTAGAATAAAAAGTTATTTTTAAAAAGATCAGCCCCCAGAAGTACTTGGTGATGAATGAAGACGAATGTACAATACAATTCACTTCATTCCAAAGAACGGTAGAAAATCCATTACTCCAGAATTTATTACACATTTGTTTGACAAATTGTCTTTTGTTGTTTACATGTGTTTTGTTTGTTGTTTTTTCTTTGAGACCCCATCATAAGCCAAATACTGGGTATTGGGATCTGGTAGGAGCACAATAAAGACAAAGCCCACAAAGTGTGTAGATTTAGAAGCGTCCTGCAAAAGCTTAGGGTGAATCTTCTTATCAACAAGTCTCTCTCTGTCCTTTTTTAAACTTTCTGTTTCATTCAAGTGCTTGCACTAACTACCAGAAATCTTGTAAATGTTATTGGCAAGGCTACACAATGATATATTTTCCTTTGCGTAGAGCTTTTCTTTCAGGCCAAGTTTTACAATAATTTAACATTTATTTAGCACCACTGACCTGGAGGTGATTACAGAAATAAAAAGATGGAAAATAATCATAGTTTGTGCCTCATGGGCTTTTCTAATCTATTAAATATTATTGTCTCTTTCTCAGGCTGAAAGTTTAATATCCCCAGGCTACATATAACAAGGTTATTTTTTATCAAAAAAAGTATTCATCAGGAGGTGTCGTTTTAAAATTAATCTTGCACGTGTTTATTGCTGTGGGCTATCAAGGTACTCATGAAGGATTTCCCAAAGGTGTGCATTCTGAAGATGTACACTTGCACACCAACAGTAGTCTCCGTGAGACTCATGTCTCCATGTTATAGCATCAGGTTATAGAAATGTTTCCCCCACACCTCAACAAAAACTCCAAGACTGAACAGACCCAAGAGTTGGGATTTATACTCTATCCTCAACCCAGTCTTTCAAGTAAGAGTGAGGACACACTGCTGTGAGGATGGGCTGGTAATAGTTTGTAGTGTCAGAAGCATGTATGCTCCTACCCAGAAGAGCCTGATACTTAAAACAAGGGCTGATGGGTTTCTGAGAGTGTTCAGTCACAGAGCTGTGTGCTGTCTGTGTACTCATCCACTCCTCTGTCAGTCAGTGTGTATCTCCGTGCATCATCATCACCAGCCTCTGGGACATTTCTTGACATTTTGAGCTCCCAGAAGTATCAGCGTCTCCATCTGCAAGGGGTAGGTTGAGAGTAGTCATAAAATATCCATTTTTTCATTTCCTTGGAAGGAATTTCATGTATTGTTATTTTAGTTTATTGGATCTCTGACATTTAGATACTGGTTCTGTAGCTAGGGAAAAGAGTAGAAGGGGTAATAGTCCTGGAGCTTGAACTCAGGGCCTGGTCCCTGAGCTTTTGTGTTCAAGGCTAGTATCCTACCATTTGAGCCACAACTCTACTTCTGGATTTTTGGTCATTCATTGGAGATAAGGCTCTCAAAAACTTTCTTGCCCTAGCTGGCTTTGGTCCTCAAATCAATCCTTAGATCTCAGCCTCTTGAGTAGCTAGGATTATGAGTCGCTAGAACCTGGCTGGCTCAATATAAATAAATATATATTTAAATGTTGTCATTCAATTTTTTTCTGTAAGCTCATCATTAAAAATGAATATAGTGATCAATAATGAAAAGGATATACAAAAGAAAATCCTTTTAAAAAGAGGATTATGGGAACCTATCCCTGTAATAGGAGTAATAGCTTGGTAGCTACTCAACATGATCTCTAGCAACTTTAAAATAAATAAGGCACATAATTGGAACTGACTGTCCTTCAGAGGAGCTCAGGGTCAGAAAGGAGAGAGGTGGCACATGGTTATGAAGAGACACCATGTTCCTAGGAGATATTCAGGTTTGCTTTTCTAAGGCAGGGAGGTGAAGGAAATACTCAGAGAGGACCTTGAGGTTGTGAGAAAGTTGGTTGTCTCAGATCAGGAGTGTCCGTGGGCACCAGAGAAGATTCTGGAGGGAAAGGAAGAGGTGATGGTGTGCTGTTTGGGGTGTGGGCACTGCAGCAGGGGTGAGGAAGATGGCAAACAGGCCTGTGAAATGATGACAAATGATCCTGCTGGCTTGTTAGAGAGAAGATCCCTTCCTTGTCCTGCCTATCACCAAGCCAGGGCTGATGTTAGTCTTGGATCATGCCAGAAAAAATGTACTTTTCTCAGCTTCTCTCTCTTGTCATATTCCCTCTTTTTCTCCCTTATAGGATTTCATTCTTAATTTATCTCTCTATATATTATTCATTCTTAATTTCTCCATATATATAGATAGATATAAATAGATAGATAGATAGATAGATAGATAGATAGATAGATAGATAGATAGATAGATAGATAGCAACTTCTGCAACTAATAATATTATGGTTTGTCTGGTAGTGCCTCCACTATACCTACTTTCAGAAATGATTTCTGTGTACAGGTTTCATTTTTATTTTTACATTCCTTCTCCCCTTTAAGTGGTTCTTTGAGGAGTATGCTAAGCCTCAAATGAACTTTCTACAGTCACTGTACCATGTCTTTTTTTTTTGTAATATAATATTTTCGAAATTGCAGCATTGAGAGATGAAATGTTATTAAATTATTTGAAGTATTGAGAGAAGGAAAGTAGAGTTAAATTTCTACCTTCTCTATGGGGGAAGTGTCTGCCCTATTTCTGTGTTGATGCAAGACACACCTTTTAAGTATTAATGTCATTCTCTATAAAAGTCACATGTAAGTCTTCCAGCTGTCATTTCCCTGGTAACAGGGATAATGGTGCATTCACCTCACCTTTAACATTTCACCTGCTGCCTCCTGACTGTCAAGCTTGTACCGATGTTCAAAAGCTTTCCAATCCATTCTCGCAATGAGGGAAGCTCCATTAATGGGCTGACTACATTATTAGAAAGAAATTAATTGCTACCACTGTCCTTTAATGAAGGAAAATGACTACTTAATTCCAGGAAGGTAATACTGCTTTTCTTTGCTACTATGAAGCCAACTCTCTCCACAGACCTCTTTTTCTGCAGACATGTCCCTGTTTTTTAAATAGACCTCTCCCTGTGACAAGATGCTGTGAAGGCAAAGTACTTTGAGAGAAAGGTCTTTGGCTCCAACAGGGAAGAGGATTCAAAGGAGGCAGGAGGATGGGAAGTACATACAGCGAGTTTAGGGTGAATTATTTAGCAGAGCAAGATTGCCACACTCTCTCAGAAAAGAGCTGTTTATTTTTTTCTAAATTGCTCTCCCTGATATTTAACATTAGAAGAAAAAAAACACTTGATAGTATTTTCAATGACAAGTTACAAGAGATATTTTCAGTTTTGATTTTGTATTCAAGAGAAGTTGAATTTCCATCTTGTGGAACTGTTGTCTGTCAGCCATGAGTTTTTGTTGTTGTTGTTGTTGTTTTGTTTTTCCAAATAGATCTCGGCAAGTGCATTTGTGTGTTTGCTGACAGGCTTGTTCCATGAACAAAGTGAAAGCATCTGGTGCCATCTGAATTCTCTTGTTTTTATTTCTGAAAGTAACAAGGACAGGATCGTACCAGAAGATGAAATGTCCCTGAGAGCTCTACTTTCCAGAGTTAAGTTCTCTTTATTTTGGAGTGATCTTACAGTGGTTCCTTTCCATTCTTGTACTGAAATCCTAGCCCCCCCACTCTCCATCCCAGGGAACAGGACCAGGAGGTGGGCCTTAGGGAGGTGAGAGGTCATAGAGCTCCTCCTTCCTCAATGAGATTCCTGTCTTTCCATCAGTGAGGGACATGATAATAAGGTGCCTCCCACGAGCCCTCAGATGGCTTTCTATCTATTGGCACCTTGAGCATAGACTTCTAGCCTTCAGAATGGTGAGAAATATAACTCCATTTGTTTTGGTGTAGCATCCTGAACAGAGTAGGATGTATCTTCTGAAAAGTAAAACATATAGTACAGGAAAATATGGGTCTACTCCATTGATAGGGTGTGTCTCCTGCATTTAGCACGTATGTGTTTCCTTTTTGTCATTTGTCTTTGAAATAATTCTTTGAGAAAGTTCTATGTTAAAACTAAAATATTTTCATTGTTCAAAGTGATAGCTAATCACTGGACTCTCGCTCTCTCTTCCTCCCCCAGTCACTTCCCTCTCCTGATAACTCTCTCCTCTTTTCTCTTTAAAATGTAGTGACCATTTCATTTTGGCTTACATTTCTGCTTTATGGATTCTGACTTACTTCTTTTTATCTTTAGTGTGGAAAGTTACAGACTTCTTCATTCCACTACTTGCCTTTAAATCATGTACTATGAAATTAGCAAAGCAAGTTCTCTGATTTTTTTTTTCTTTCCTCTTTTTCTTTGGTTTATTGTCTTCTGCCACTTTTATTTCTGTACCCTTTACCTGTATATAGGTTTATCTGATTTGGGGAAAGAGAGGGGAAGCACAGAAATGGTTGGACAAAGTGTGAACCACTTCGTCAGTGAAACCCACTAGACACTGTGTTAGAAATGATCTATACAACTTGAGGGGAGGGAAGCTGGGAGGGGTAAAACTGGGAGAGACTGAGGGAGGTGGTGACAATGTTCAAAAGGAAACGTATTCATTACCCGACTTATGTAACTGTAACCTCTCTGTGCATCACCCTTACAATAAAATTAACTTAAAAATACCACAGCAAAAATGACTGCATATAATATTTTCATGTGCAACTGCCAGGATAAATTATGGGGCCTTTTTCGTGGGGGGATTGGGGAGGGAAGCAGTGCTGGGGCTGGGCACTGCCCCTGAGATTTTAAGCTCAAGGCTAATGTTCCTCTACTATTTGAGCAATACCTATATCCAGCTCTTTGTTAGTTAATTAGAGATAAGAGTCTCAAAAACTTTTCTGCCTGGGCTGGCTTTAAACCACTATCCTCAGATCTCAGCCTCCTTAGTAGCTAGGATTACAGGCGTGAGCCACCAGTACCCTGCTATTGAGCCTTCTTTTTTTTTGTCAGTTGTGGGGCTTGAACTTTGGGCTTGGGCACTGTCCCTGTGCTCTTCAGCATAAGGCAAGTGCTCTGTCACTTGAACCACAGTGCCACTTCCAGTCTCCTAGTGGTTTACTGGAGATAAGAGTCTCAACGACTTTCCTCCCTAGGCTGGCTTTGAACCGTGATCCTCAGATCTCAGCCTCCTGAGTAGCTAGGATTACAGGGATGAGTCGCCAGTGCCTCGCTGTTGAGCCTTTCTTAATTTAATATTGGAATTTAAGTTAGATATCCAACTTAATTGGATATGCTATTTCTTTCTTTAGAAAATGACTTTTTGAATGAACCATATAAATTTTAGTAAATTTAAGATGTAAATGTATTCACTTCATTCACAACAACTTTGTGGTTCTATAATTGGCATACAGGAATAGACACTAATATGAGATACATAGTTTGGAGAATTTTGAATGATTTACTGTATTCTCTTGCTATTTATAGTATGTTAAAGTCTTGGAATCAGATAATATAGTGCCTTTGCCTTTGCTTTTCTTGTTCAAAATCATTTTGGCCCATCTGTTGGCATTTCCATAAACATTGTAGAAACAATTAAATAATTTGTACAAATCTACAATTTTTATTGGGATTTGTATCAATTTGGGAAGAACTGTCATTTATGTAAAATGTACTCTTTAATTCTCATAGCATAACTAATTATGTTAAGTCATTAATAAAGTGATGTGTTTCACTATTTATTTTGTCAGTAGTGGAGCTTGAACTTGGGGCCTGGGTGCTATCCCTGAGCTCTTTTGCTCAAGGCTAGTGGTCTACCAATTGAGCCACTTCCAGTTTCTTGGTGGCTAATTGAAGATAAGAAATCTCACAGACTTTTCTGCCTGCATGGCTTTAAACCATGATCCTCAGATCTCAGCCTCCTGAGTAGCTAGGATTTCAGGCATCAGCTACCAGCGCCTGACATGTTTTACTTTAATACAGAAGCTTTATCTATATTTTGGTAACTGTATTCCTATATATTGTATATGATAATATAAATTGTTTTGTTTTATTAATTTTGTACTATTGACATTTCATCTTTACATTTTGACTATATATATCTATATATAATTTTTCTGGTTCTGGGGCTTTGAACTCAAGGCTTAGGCACTGTTGATGAGCTTTTAGTGCTCTACCACTTGAGCCACAGCTCTGCTTCTGACTTTTTTTTGGAGGTTGGTCATGGAGCTTAAACTATGGGCTTGGACACTATTCCTATGCTCTTCAGCTCAAGGCAAGCACTCTACCACTTCAGCCACAGCACCACTTTCGGTTTTCTGTTGGTTAATTGGAGACGAGAGTCTCATGGACTTCCCCGCCCGGGCTGGCTTTGACCTGCAATCCTGAGATCTCAGTCTCCTGAGTAGCTAGGATTACAGGTGTGAGCCACTGGCATCTGGCTCTGCCTCTGATTTTTGATGGTTTGTTGGAGATAAGAGTTTCAGACTTTCCTGCTCAAACTGGTTTTGAACTGTGATCCTCACATCTCAGCCACCCTGCATAGCTAGGATTACAGGTGCATGCCACTGGTGTCTGGCTACAATTATTTATTATTTTTATAGGCTTTATGTTCCCTGCCTCACTGCATTACAGAGGAACAGGTGTAGAATACTTCCAGGGAGGGTGGGCAGCTACCTCATCCTGGGTTGACTGGAAGGAAGGTGTCCATTCATTCTCCATTAAATGTCAAATTAGTTGTAGTCCTGTAGCCCTTGGTCAGGCTGAGAAAATGTTTCATTTCTGTATTTTGCTTGTATAAGTTACATTTTTCCAAATATTAATACAAGCTTACATTTCTGGGGTAAGTATCATGTACTAATGATATCTTTTTTTGGTCTGCCCTGGGGCTTGAACTCAAGGACTAGGTACTGTCCCTGACCTTTCTCACTCAAGGCTGGCATTCTACCATGTTGAGCCACAGCTCTATTTCTGATTTTCTGGCAGCTAATTGGAGATAAGAGTGTCACAGACTTTCCTGCCTGAGCTGACTTCAAACTGTGATCCTCAGATTTCAGCCTCCTGAGGTGTGAGCCACCGGTGGCCAGCCTTTTACTTCTTTTTTTGTTTTTACATTGAGATTTGAACCCAGTGTCTTACACTTGTTAGTGTTTTACTGCTTGAACCATAATCCCAGACTCCCTTTTTATTTTTTGTTATTTTTCAAATAGTGTTGTTTTAGCCCTAACTGACCTCAGACTGGAATCCTCTTATTTCTATCTCCCAAGTAGCTGTCATTATAGATGTCTCCCACCACACCTGGCTTGTTGGTTGAGATAGGGTCTCATTAACTTTTTGTTCAGGCAGAGACCTTCTTGAATCATGGTCCTTCTTTTTCTGCTTCCTGAGTATCTAATACTGTGGATTGTAACACCAGGCCTGACACCTTCTTTTGGCTTATTTTTTGCATTTAGTTTTTTTTTTTTACATGGGTAGGGTAATGAGTTTATTTCTTATCGAGCATTGTTACCTCCTCGGTTGATTTTCCCCAACCATCACTTCCTTCCCCACTTCCTTAGCTCCTCCCTCCCCCGCCCCCGGTGACATTGTAAAGTTTGTGTTCAACATAGTGTCCTGTATGTCTCATTGTCACAATGGGTCATCCTGCACCCCCTTCCCCTCCCCATTTTACAAAAACATATATATACAAGATGCAGAACACCAGAATCAAATACAATGAAAACAGGACCATATGAAATAATGTTATGCAAAATGTACCCCAAGACAGGACACAAGGGTTTTTTTCCTTCTTGCTATTTTTTAAAATGTACTCATAATGCACTATGTGATTCTTTTGTTTGTTTTGTAAGTTCTTCTCCCACACATTTAGTTTTTAATATTGCAATTAAAATATTGTACCCATGTTCTTAAAGAAAAGTGGTTTACAGTTTTCTTGTAATCGTTTTGGATTTAGAATAAAACAAGGCCTATGATTCTCTTCCTCTAATTGTTAAAATGTTTCATGTAAGATTGGCATTATTTCTCCTTAAGTGTAGACTTCTTCATCAAGGTCACTTGATACAAAAGCTCCTTAGGGAGTATTGTGTTATCATAAATGCATTTTTTTTCTAATAGGTAGAAGGCCATTCAAACTGTCTCTTCCTGGCTTGCTAATTCTGTAAAGAAAATTTCCTTTCTTAATGATGCTATTTATTTATTTAGGGTCCGGTCGTGGGGCCTGAACTCTGGGCCTGGGCGTTGTCCCTCAGCTCTTCAGCTCAAGGCTAGCGCTCTACCACTTGAGCCACAGCGCCACTTCCGGTGTTTTTTCCTTTTGCCTATGTGGTGCTGGGGAATCGAACCCAGGGCCTCATGTATTCAAGGCAAGCGCTCTACCACTGAGCCACCTTCCTAGCCCCACGATGTTATTTATTTTTAACACAAATTTATTATCTACTTTACTTATCTATTTATTATTTTAGTTGTAAAGTCATATGAACCCTCCTGAATTTTGTTGGTAAATTTTAGTAAATGAAGCTAATGATTTATCACTTTTTGTTTCTTTTCAAAGAAGCTGTACTTGTTCCTATTGATTTTCTCTCTTGTTTTGTAGTTGCTTCTCTGTTGATTTATGCTCCGTTACCAGTCTTCAGTTATTGTAACAAATACCTGTAGTAAATCAGTTAATAAAAACAGGTTTATCTATTTTCACATGTTTTTAAAACAATTTTAAAGGTTATTATAAAGGTGATGCACAGAAGTGTTACAGTCTCATAGTCAGGTAAACAGTACATTTCTTTTTGAACAATGTCACCCTTCCCTCACTCTCTCCCAATTTCTCCCTCTCATCCCCACCCACAAGTGGTATAGTTCATTTTCAACATTTATTGAATATCATCTAATATCTAGTGAGTCCCTCCATTTCTGTGCCAACTTACACTCCCAAAGACATGTAAACAAAGCAGCCAAAAAGAACAAAAAACTTCTTGTTTCCATTTCCTGAAGTTCATTTCATTAAATAGTATTTTGTATGATGAGATTCACATAAGCATTTGCCTTTGTATTCCTCTCCTGAGTACAAAAAGCTTATTTTTAACCATAGGCTTAGAGGTTTTGGTTTACGGTCAGTTGATCTGTTGTACTTGATTCTGTGATAAGATAACACAATGCAGGGAGCTGATTACCTCATTGTGGCCAGGGAGGAGAGGGGGAGAGAGAGAAAGAAGAAAAGAAAAGAAGGAGAAGAAGGAAGAAAAGGAGGAGAGGGGAAGGAAGGGAAGGCAAGGGAACTGAAGAGAAAGAAGAGAGAGAAGAGAATGGGGGGATGGGAAGGAAAGGGAGAGGAGACAGGAGAAGAGGAAGAAAAATAAAGACTAAGAGGAAGGGCAAGGGAAGGGGAGAGGAGGAAAGAGGAAAGGAGAGAAGAGAGAGAAGGAAGAGGAAGAAGGAGTAGGAGAGAGAACAAGGGATGAAGAGAGGAAAAGAGAGGAAGGAAGAGGAAGGAGAAGAGAGGAGATGAGGGGAAAGGAGAGGAGATTCATAAAGACTTATCTCCTTTGACTAGACTAGATTTCTTAAAGGTTTCTTTACTTTCTAGTAGCACCAGAACGTAGCTTGCAGAACGTTTTCAGGTTAACTTGTCTTTCCTTCTGCAGTGCCAATCAGCTGCTAAAC